ACCGATTTAGTAACGATACAGACCATTTGATAGGTGATAAAAGGAAACGTAACCGAAACGAATAAGAATAGAAAACCTAAGAACTAACCATAAAAAACAAGGAATAGATTACTCACTTTGGTTTACACACGCACTGAACTTGACTTGATAGAATAGACGAGTAACAGTGTATAGAGAAACTATGGCCCAATGCCGAGTAGAAGTTGACGTAGTGAAATCTGCACTTGAATTAACATCACGTTTCAAAACCAACAAAGTCTACAATTATCGTTTACACTTCTCTCGATCCCTGCCCTGGGTACCAGAGGTTTTTTCTCGCGCGCGGCGGACGGAAATGCTTCGCTTCGGCTTTTTCGGCGTATTGCCCTTCGCCGCCATCGAGCAAACATCGCATCCAATAGTATTGTTTTGGTAGACCCTACAGTATCAAGTGGCTTTTCCTTGTCAAGTTGGAAGTTTCCTGTTATGATCTACGCTCTGATTGGCTGGGTTAATACGGTCCACAAAACCTGTCATCAGGTTGTCAAAACGTGTAATAGGGGACGGCAATAAAAATACGGGTAATCTGGGCAGGCGGTTCGTTTTCGCGGCTTCCCCGCTTTATGCGCTCGCGCTCAAATTGCTTTAAACAATTGCTTAAACCGCCGAGCTGCGCAGGCTAGACTGAACATGACGTACTGACGGTCTTTTTCTTTTTACAGTGGAAGTAACAAACTTAGCTATTTATTAGTGAAATCAAGCTGTGATGACTGTTTATAATTGCCTAAACAAACCCCAATGGAAGCCCTAAGTCAACCTCATACCTGGGAAACGAGGCTGGCCTAACGCTGCAGAATCAAATTAGACTAATCTCAAGAGATTATCAAAGAGATTGAATCTCCCATATAGGCCCTCTCCCCAAGGTAATCCCTCCTAAGCTATTTTTAGAAATGGTACCCAGTTCTTCCGAGGATGTTACTTGTGCGATGTGTGGATAGCCCAAGCGACTCTCTCGCAGTTAATCGAGACGAAATGGCGGGAAATTTGATTGGCTGGGCTTTCATTTGCTTTGTGCTCATTTGGCTATTTTACAACGGCAACGGCAAAAAGTACAATGGCTGTGGAAGCGTGCGCTATAATTCTTTGTTCATTTTTTTGCCGTTCTCTACAAAACAACAACATGGAACGACCACATTCTGCGTGTTCTAGAAAACGTGAAATACGACGGCCAAACCTTCCTACCTACCTACCTACCTACCTACTCGCCATCGCTTATAAACAGGTTACTGCCGGATAAATTTAGTATTAGATTTTAAATGATAAAAACACAAATATATATGATTTAGCTTAGTTATTTATTTTTCATCGAAAGAACTTTTATCGTTATACGAGAGGTTATTATATTGCTCGTAGGATAAAATGTGCCATAGCTCACTTATTCTGTAGTTTTACTTGCTTCAAATCATCTTAGCGTGTTACGAGCATGCCTTCGTTCAATTATTATTTTTTTATTTTAAACCTGAATGCCCAACTAATATCGTGTAGACTATTAATTATTTTCAGACAGTCCTTGTTATGCATCTGCTAGAGTGTGCCAGCGATTAATGTTTTGTTCTTTTTCCTGAATCATGTCGTTCCAGTGTCTGATTTCTTCCTGCCCACTAAAATTTTTTCCCAGGGAAAACCAGCCTATCAGCTCTTTTTTCTTCCTTGTCTTTGATATAGCAATAACAGCGATTGTCAAAGTCACCAACTGTAGATCTTTTTCAGATATTTCGTACATGAAACTCTCATTGTATTCAGGATCAGCCATGCTCTTCCTAATGGTAGTTTTACTTTTTGCAACTTGCTTGCCAGATGATGACAACAAAGTGACTTTCACGTATGTATCTGTTAGTGAATGAAAAATTGTGTCCGTTACGTATATGATGAATTCGTTTGTGATTTATTACTACATGTAAGTGAGAGGTTATAAAGATGATTCAATCTTAGATTAAGATTTAATTTTTCTATTTTTTGAATTATTACGTTTAAAGAACAGCGTTTACAGTTCTGACGCTCAGTTATGTCTAGAATTTAAGATGACAAATAAATCTGATCCACGCTGGCTTACTTATTTTATTTCACGCTTGTTTATTTAGTTACCATATGTAATACATGAAGTACCTGATTTGCAACGTAATGGTTCAAGTTTGCGGCATTAATCAGGCAAGAAAGCACTTGTGCAGTTCAGAATATAAGGTCTCTTATCTGGTTTCTTTAAATTCTCTCAGTGAGAAAGTAACCTTAAACAGTAAAAAACCCACCTACAATCGAGACCTTGGTGATTAAGAACATGTTGTCATTATATAAGAACAAGAGAAAATGATCTCTTGACAAGAACCTGTTGAGAAATAGGCGAGTCTTCAGATTTCTCTAGTGTGTAGAACATAAAGAACCTAGAATAAATCGGGAGATCCGGTGTGAATGTATCACAGTGGAAGCCCTCGTAACTAAGCCGACACCCTCGAAACGAGAAAAAGCTGTCCGTAACTGGAACTGGCCACTTACGAGATTAGTTCTCGTTAGAATGGACGCCTACGGCAGCTTGCCCAGCTTAAAATAAATATTGGAAATGCAAAAATACCACATTTGCAATGTCGCGATAATGGCGATAAAACAGCATGTATATAGCAGTGAAAAAAACAAAAAACAACAAAAAAAATAATAAAATGTATATAGCAGTGGAAACTGTACTACTGATTAGGACTGGTCCCTAGTGGTTAAAGATCAAAACATGATTGTAGTCAGCATTAATATGACCTAACAGCATTAACATGACCTAACATGAGAAGCTAACCAAAGCCGACTCGAAAAGAACCTCAATACCATATATATGAGAACCTTCTTGGGCTGACCTGGAAAAATCTAAGTTGTTATCTGTGGGTTTCACTGTATTTATAATCATCAGATGGTGAATGTAGGACGCTCACCTGCTGTTTAATTTCATGAAAACTGATAAAAATTATCTTACAACCTAATTTATCGTGTCCGAGCACACCATTTCCATTCACCCTCATATTTGCACAGTATTTATCAGGGCGGGCAGTGTGTTGCGGACAGTGTCAAAAGGAATTTTCCATAAACAATATTATTGAAAAGACTTTATTCGATTTGTGGAATATTGTCCGAATCTGAAACTTGAGAATGTAAGGTTAATTTGCCACAACATATCAACCATGTGGACGAAGGCTTCGTCACCTAGCCCTTAACTCACCAGTCGAACGCTTGGTCGGTGGATTACGTTTTCGTTTCCCTTTGGTCTCTTCAGGTTTCCCATTGACTCACTTCCGCATGTTTTTTGCAGGCACATGCACCTAAATTCTTGTCCTTCGTTTTGCATGATTAATAGAAAAGTTTTTTTCTTCCGTTCCATCTTTTAGAATTTGGAATAATTTCCAGCCATTCCGCCGTTCCGTCAATCAGCCCTTCCCCGCTCCGTCGTTCCAGAATAGGGAACAATAATAGTTATTGTCTTGTTCATGCTGCATGTAACCCATTTTTTACAATAACTGTCTAATTTCTCGCGCGCTGATTGGCTCATTTTTATCATCAATAAGAGTACAGACGGATAAAATTTTAATTTATGCAAGCTTTCAAGCTTCAAGCTGTCAAACTGTTAACTTTTTAACCAATGAGATTTTATGAACTTTTTTAAGTAGCCAATCAAAAAGCGAGAAAAGCTATTGACAATGTTTGCGTCATTTTGAATAAAATTCACTTATCTTTGGTTACGGTTTACGGCAAGTTTACGGCGTCTTTTCCCCTCATCTATTCCCGGCATTTGACCCTTTTTGGGGGTATTGTTATTGGAAAAGACAAATTGACAGTTTTTTATGCGTCTGTCCGATAAATCTCGTCATAACATTGTCAAATTTTACTGCGGAACCACTCGCCTGCGACTCGTGGTTCCACAGCCACTTTGACAATGTTGTGACGCAATTTATCATCAATAACAGGACTGACACATAAAAAACTGACGTCAATTAGTTAAGTAGACGACCGAAGGTCTCACACTGATAAATTTGCACACTCTTTTCTTTTGATAAGCATATATCACACAGTCTTATAAGAAAATCGAGGCTGAATTTTGCGAAATTTTAAGAACGTTTAAGAATAATTTAAAGGAATGATTTTGTGCGTTGAAATTTGTAAATACAACTATATGTTTTTTACTAAACCGTATAAAATTCTTCCTTTCTCTAAATGGCAAAAGCAACGAAACAAACAAAACAACAAAAACAGCATTAGCCGTATATTTCATTTTTCTCTGCAAGAAGTTGTGTGTGTCGTATCAGTCTGCAGTCTGGCTCCAAAATTACTCCAACTCTATCAGATAGTAATTGGACAGAAAATGTATTCCTGTAATCTAAGGATATACACTGACAAAAATATTTTCAGCCTAAAATCGGCAAAAAATAGGAATATTTAGCCTGGGCTGGAAAACCCAACTCTTATAAAAAAAAGAGTATATATTTTCAACTACTTGTCTGGTCATTTGCCTCTGTCTTTGTGCAAAACATTTTTAAAAGACAACGTATGACCCGTTAATTAATACAAAAATAGGAAAAAGATAGGATTTCTTATACCTGGTGCGCGTTGCATCGAGACATTTCGAAGGTTGCTCGCCTTAAGCACTTCTACAGTTAAACGACCAGTGAGTGATTGATAGCAGAGCGAGACGAGCAACTCGGGTGCCCCGCTTTGCGCCATTGCCAGTGAAGAGACTGAGCCATATGAACCACTCTTCACGCTTCCAGTATCTGACAGATCGTACATGGAATCAGAACTCTGCAACAGTGCAACAAAGATCTTTGTTAGAAGAAAAACAGCACTAGCACCTTTTCACTTGTCATTCAGATCATACGAATGCCCTTGTTAAAAAGTAATAGCACAAAATGCTCTCAATTTCCTTGTTAAATGTTAAATGTATATTGTGTAATAAGGGTGATTGATTAGGGCACTATAAAAGCCTCTTCATATGAGTCCGGTCAACCGGGTTGGCCTGGTTTTTCAGATCTCACCTCGCCGCTCTTTTTTTTTCGCAAAAATTTTCCACGTGTTCGTATGAGATGAGCCGGGCTGGCAAGGCTACCGAGATCTCGGTTTTTGCGACCGAGATATTGGTAATCGGGATGAAAATTTTCCCATATGAACACTCCAGCCCAGGTGACCGGGACGAAACTTTTTGACAAAATAGCTTCGCTTTCGCAACATAGCAGCCAAACTGGCGTAATTTGTGCCTTGTATGTGTTTCCACTATGAGAGGTAGGCGAATTAACTTTATAAGTAAAGTTACAAGAGTCCACAAAGATACAATAGTCGTGAATGATACAAGTTTACGTTCCACCATTCTGGTTTTGTTTGTGGAATTTCATCCCGGTCGACCGGGCTGAAATGACAACAAAATTCGTCCCGGTTACCAGCTCATATGAAGAAGCACTATATGAAGTTACATGAACGTTACAGTTTAATGATTAAAGTTATTTTTCGCAATTTTGTAGTTGAAAATTCCAAAAGTTAGAGTGGTACCTGTTATCCCAGTCTCTAACAACCGAATGATGGATTTTCAAACTCTTTTGTTTTAATTCTAGTTCCTCCTGCTGTCTAACGAAATCCGGCGTTATATGACGAACAACAAAGTTCCATGTGAAGACATGATTGATCATCGCAGTTTTACACACAACTTAAGCAGTTGTGACATTAAAACCTGAAAAAAATTCAGGCTTGAACGGGATTCGAACCCATGACCTCTGCGATACCGGTGCAGTGCTCTACCAACTGAGCTATAAAGCCAACTGGGAGCTGGTCACGTTGTGAGTTTTTTCAGGCTTAAATTTCACAACTGCTTTAGGTTGTGTGTAAAACTTCAATAGTCAATCATGTCTTCATATCTTTCTCTTTCTCCGCAGTTCAGATATATGATCTTTCATATATTCACTTGTAATAAAGTTCCACCTCAGTTTACAAACTGTTACAGTGTTTGCTCTTGTAGAACAAACTGAAATTTTAAGCACACTCTCATCCTCCTTGTAAGAAATTTGAGAGAAATAGCTTGCCTCCATGAAAAACGTTTACAGGTTCATTAGGTTTTAAAGTGCACCCACGCTCTGCCCGAGAATCCGACGTGTGCTTTTGTAGTGATCATATGTCACCAACAATAGAACAATAGATGTTTTAAATATGCCACCTTCTCATTGGTTCCACTTGATTAAATCGCCAACCGTGGATTTGCATACAGTTTACTTCGCTCTGGCTATTTGTATGACCACGCAACAATGTTCAGTGTTCCTTTAGATTCAGTTGACAACTGATCTTGTACCAAAATAAGGAAATAAACTATTTTTTTATGAAAATACTAGCTTCATGGACTATACCATGAAAATATATTCGTATTCCATCACACTTTGTTCAGTAATAAAGCAGGTTCAGAAATACAATGAGGACCGAGATGATCCATCGAATAAACCATTCCTCGTCATATTATTTTAGAACGCCGCACTCGCTGTACCTGAATACATGGGTATTATTTTTGTTTTGTTTTTTCCTGGGGCAAGTAACCTGTCGAGAAAAGTCATGTTCATTTAAAATAAGCGAGGAGCCTTTTGAGATATTTTCTTAACAAAGAAGTTTAAAAGGTAAACATAGAGTACTGCATGTAGATATATTTCAATCTTTCTACTTACACTTAGAGCATTTCTTGGAGTAAGCGTTCGCCATAGCGCCTCTCCATCCCCTTCCAAGTCGAATTCTGTTAGACTGATAGTCATTTCGCCAAGCAGTTTATCCCTTGTGAGTTTTTCGTGACCATATAGTCTGAACCTCAGACCATTTTCATGCAAATCACTTTGGGGAACTCGACTGAAAGTGAATGTTTCGTGAAAGTTCGGATTTGCTGCCGGTTTTGCTTTTGTTTTAAAACGTTGCTTCTTGGAAGGTAGCAGTACGACTCGAACCTGGACACTGCCTGCGCCTCCTCTTTGCTTTGTCGGCACATCTTCAGCGCGGATTACAGTTACCGCTAACTTTTCTGCTGTCGGGGCATAGCTTGCAGAAACTTGTAGTCTTCCAGCAGTTGAAAGAAATTCCTCATGGCCGATATCAATTGCTTCACCATAAGCCGACACAGCCCGTCTTGCGCCGGGACTGTATTCACCGTCGGAATATTTACCGTAACCATACACTGAAGCACTATCACCGAGAGCAAGCTCACCATCCGACTTACTCCCACTTGTATTAAAGCTACTTCTTCGGCTTGTTGCTTTTGAAGATGGCCCAACATAATCATCGTCTGTTTCGGTCCCATACGGTTCACCGAGCTCCGCGTATCCTTTCTCCTCCGGTCTCTCTTCCGGTGGTTCGGTCTTAAAAAACATTCCAGCCTTCAAGCACTGATATAAAACTAGCAACAGAAGGCAACAACCACCAATAACCGCCATAAAAACGATGGCCGGGGTTGGCACTGAAACGTGAAGAAGAATCGAACTATTAGTTGAATAATTTTGAAATAAACGTGCACAAAATCGAAGCAAAAGGTTCCGCAATTTTGTTTCCTCTACGTACATCCCATACTGGCCTTGAAAAAGCGACAGAACAGCGAATGAGATCGACTAAACTTTAGACATGTTACTAAAATGTTACGCCCCACCACACAAGATTGGGAATCGTTGTCATTAGGTCCTTTGATCAAAGATCATGAATAATTTATTTCGAAGCGTGCGATCACAAGAATCAAAACAAGGCCAGGTGGTAGCAAATTCAAGGAAAAACGAGCAGCTTTACTCGTCAGCTGATAACTCGGATTAACTCTTGACATTACAGCAAGTATGCACGAGGATTTTGTTCAAGTTTCTCATGTTAAATCATTCAAGCCACTTAGTCTATTCGTTTCGAAAGAAAAGGTTTGATAACACCGTTGTTTTCAGACCTTTTCATCGGTTAAAATGTCACTTAGTCGTCCTGTCGCGCTCACTTCTGAGGTAACAAATTCTAATATTTACAATATTATTTCTGCATTTGGGAATGTAGGACTAAAACTATCATCAAATTTAGACCATTGCACACTCGGCTAACTACCTCATTAGAAAGTGTACTGTGACATCGAAAATCGATCATTGATTTGTTTCAATTATATGAAGGGCAGTTCAGTTTTGCTATAGATCGATAATAGAAGGAAAACTCTTCATATAGCTGGGAAACTCCAATAAGTCCGGGAGTAAGTGGAATCTAAACCCTCTCTTTCTTTCTCTACAGTACCACGTGTAAGAATTTTACATTTAATACCCTACAAAGCTTATAAAGCGTCGCCGATTGTGTTTTGGATCGTGTAACTAAAGCTAAAACTGTCTGTTCGAGCTAAGAGAAGATAGTACTTTTTAAGATAATCGTTATTAACCAATGCTTTTTCCTGGATGGACGGGATTAAAAATATTCACTAAAACTAGTGAATATCTTTAATCAGTCTTTGTGTTTTCGAGGCCTGTCACAATTCGCAAAATTAAATCAGCGAGGAGGAAGAAGCTGAGCCCGGAGCGAGGTTCTTGACGGTACCTAGAAATAGAGCGTGTACAACGTCACAAGAATGGTACTAACCAAGACACTTCACGTGCCCCTTGCTTCCTCCAAAACCTACGGTCCTTTGAGCAAAAGGCAAGTATTTCGCACGATTCCTTGTTGGAAGAAGCAATAGTCCAGACAATATAGCTCCTTTGGGACTGGAATAAAACTTATTTTCAACAATTTTCCACATTGCCAACTTAAATTGACAAATTTATTTTTATTTACAGGCTAATAAAAATACCCAAACTTTTTCAGACTTTTGGAATTTTTCAAACAAAATTCTAGAATTTTGTCAGTGTCTTATTGAGTTAAAAAATTAAAAAGTTGGTTCTTTTGCCTGGACAATGATTTTGATAATTGTCCAGGAAAGTCACTTGAGCAAAATTGTAATTCTTATAGAATTACATATAATTTCAACTCTTTTTTTGGTTCAGATATTCAGCTAAAAGAAAGAAACTGATTTTAAGAATTGTTAACAGCAAAGTTCGTTGCATTTTTTCGGCATTTTGTGGCTTCAACATGAAGTCATTCTCTGCAACAGGTCACATTTGCACATTATGTGCGGAAATGAATGCGCAATGACTACAAATTTTAGAAATATTTCGACAAACTAGACTTGTAAAAAACGTTCAAACTGGGTAATAAATCCCGTCACGGTGCTCGGCGTGTCACATAAACGGTAACACGCCCACGTCCAACACGCCAGATGGTGAATACATCTGGATAAAAAATTTTGTCCGACATTGACGTAATATTCTCGGGAAATGTTTCTTGGCATATCCGCATACGGCCCAGTCAGATTGGTTGGTTAGTAAACAGCCGCGAGAGGCGTCCACGGTGCCACCTTTCGTTTTCATTAGAGGTACAGCAAGGCGTGCAAAGATCACAGACTCGCTTTATAATTGAATGGCTCGTTCTTACCGGGAGGGAAAACCATCCTTTGTTTTGTGCTGAGTCAGCTGTAAAGTCCTCTCGACACTGGTCTCAGTATTTCTAGTTATGCAGAGAGCAGCACAGTTAAAAAATACACAACGTTTTAGGCAACAACAAGCAGGAATAACAACTCCCTCCTTCCCCCCCCCCTATTCAAAAGACGAAATTTTCCGTCACTCTAGTTATCCGATTCCAGAGAAGCTCAAATTTTCTTTCGTGATGTGCATGCGTGCAACGGATGTAATGAAAGCGCATTCCACAAATGAAAAATGATTCACAAGCGCGTTAAACTTACCTTATATCTGATACATTCAACAGTGTAAAGAAGTATATGGATGAGGATTTTACTAGTTTGATGAGATTTCTACAAGAAAAAATGATAATAAAAGATAACTAAATACAAATAATAATAGATGTACATATATTATCTAATTATTCTGATAACCCCTCACTTTTTTTTCCATTATTTTCCCATCTTTCTATTTTATCCACTTCAATTTGTTTAAAAATCCTTTTTGGCATAAGTTTCTTTAGCTCACTCGGCAGTGGGGCCCAATCGGTCATTGCTTTATTTGATTGATTGACAATGAAACGATGGATTCTGTAGGCCTTCCCACTTTGATACATCATTGATTTCATCAAAAAAAGGATGAAGGTTTAGAGATTTAACCCCCATATATTTAACATGCGCGTTGCATAGATGTTTTCGTGGAGGATGAAAATGCGTGCAAAGTCACTTGGGATGTCCACATGAATAACATTTACGTCACAGCATTGGCTGTGATCTAAAAATAACTCAGTAAGAGGACTACATTGGGAGGACGGATTCTCTTGATTGAATCTAATGGTGTTCACCCGACTATTAACGAATACGATTATCACTTTTTGAATATTTTCCTCATAAGACATCTTTCTTGCTCTCAAATTGACTGTTGTTTCGCAGCAGAGCGGGTGCGCGCACTCAGTTTAAGGTAATTCCTCTGAAATAAAAGTGACAATAGATTTTTGTTCAAACTTTGTTCACTGAATACTTGTCATATGATAACTTCGATTTTGACATAAAAAAGGGGGTGCCCATGCTCATTAAGGAGCAGTGAGGCATTAAAAATGCCCCATTTTGGCATTATTTAATGCTTATTATAAAAACGCATTCCCAGNAAAATTTGAACCAAATTTCTTGACGTGGTTACCGACTGCAAAATAGAAAAGACCACAGTGTCTGCTATTTTTCTTATTTATTAAATTTTCAGCAATAGCAATTAGATCAGTCTTTTCTCACGCGACGCTTATGATTAGTTGATTACAATGACTGGAAAAAAAATCGGGGTGCCCTTGCTCGTTGGTGAACTAGAGCCATTTTTCAACTGAAAGAGCTCAATATCAAGGCAAATCCGTCATGTTTTCAATATGCGCGCGCACGAGCGCGCGCTAATGACGCCATAAATTATGCGCAGTAAGGATGCGCAATGCAAATGTGAGGAATGACCTTAAAAAATGCATCGGAGCGTCGTGATAAGTGGGTTTTCTCTGGTTTTTACTCTAAGTCTCGTCGAACTGCCCTTCGAGGCTTACTGCATTTTCCCCACAGCTCATTTGTCGCTATTCTCAATTGGAGCTGATCTGGTACAAGCAAAGTCATTTCGGCCACATCTCATCTCGGTGTGTAGTTGCTTTTTGTCGTTATTCAATTCTCTCGTCACAGAAAAATACCCTCCTGAGTCATAGGCGTAACTTTTTTAAATAAGAAATCGCCGCGAAATTGCCTCGGGTTTCGAGCAAGTTCGAAAGTCCGCGATATCGCGGCGACAAAGCGCATTAGAATTGTACTGAAATCGCAGCTGGCTTACACTTGTAATTTTGAATTTGCAATTTCAGCTCGATAAAAATTGCACTGAGTTGCGCGACGAAAATTTATAATTATTTTTTGAACTCTGCGCAAATTAATGCGCGGGCGTTTGCAATTTTCACATCAGTAACATGTTAGTATAAGGTAATCGCATGATTTGGAGTACAATTTGGTATAAATAAGCACGAGTAAATGTTTCAAAATTGCACGAGCGTATGGCGGATGCAATTTGTAACCATTTAATTATTTGTTAATAATACACTTGAAAATATACTATTTAAGGTCTTAGTCTACACGATGCTTCCTTGGCAGGCTGCAGTGTCCTTGGTATTCCAAATAATGTCGAAAAGTTCCGAAGATTTTCCCAATGTCTTCGGCAAGCTTCGGGTGATCTTCGACAATCTTATCAACGTCCAGTTACCTTCGGCTATCTTCGGAAGGCTTCGGGTGATATTTGACCACTTTCGAAATACCTCGGATGACCGTCGGTAGTTTGCGAGTGTCTTCTCACTAATTTCGGATATCTTTCCACTCGTGTTTCAAATTTGCACTCGTGTTACATGAAAACTGCACTCCTTTTAATTCTTAGCCAATCAGGATGGATAATTTTTTCAACTGTGTTATTAGCATAGGTAGTCCTTTGAATGCGAGTTCAGTTTATGATTTATACTACAAGTGATAATCGAGAAAATTGTTCCATTACTCACTTATTATATGACTGAGAAAACTGTGAACACGCGCGCGTAAATTTGCAGTTAAGTGCAAATTAAGAATTAACGATCACAATGGAGTAATTTTCTCAGTCACATAATAAGTAATACTATTATACATTGAACTCACTATCTCTTTTCTGATTGGCGGAAAGCACACACTAAATTTTCGAAATCAGCACCTGTGACGTCATCTCTGCAGATTATAAAATAATCATGTCAAGGACACTCAAGGTCACGGGTAATCATCTAAAGTTCGCGCGCTTTGTGTTGCTTGCCGCCAGTGAAGAAGCAAAAACATGACTTCCATTTTTTTCGTTCAATGTATAATAAGACAATTATTAGATTCGGTTTTTGTGATATCCAGAATAATTAAGGTCTCGGTAAGGGTTATCGGCCTCAGCCTTTGGCTGATAACCCCTACCAAATTGGATACTTTGAACTTAGGGTTTTGGTTGGTCTGCGTTCTTTGTGATTTGACAGATAGATTACAGGTTTTTGTTTCACTCAATTTAAAACCGCTACATTTGAAAATTCCTTCAAATTTAGCTCACCAAAGGCACGTCAAACTATAAGATCACTTTAAATATCACTGGTATTGTAAATCACTAATTGCTCTCTCGTTTATACGATTGCCTAAAGAAACGTTTGAGAAAAAAGGTAACTTAAAGTTTTGACCATGATCGATTTTGTCGCATTAAACATCATGATGGTCCGTTTAAGTGAAACCTCGTCCGAACAGACGGGCGTTTTCCTTTATTCCCATTTCCCTATTTATTCCTATTTCCCTATTTATTCCTATTTCCCTATTTCTCGACTTAAATAAACTGCAAAAAACAGGAAGGCATAGAGAAAATGCATGAATTGACGTTTTTAAAACTCCTCGATGAAGATTATGAATAATCTTGTAACATCCAACTCCAAGATCTTCGTTTTTCAAAATATTCCAATTTATCTTTATCTTCGGATTCTTCACTACGGTGTAATACTTTCTGCAGTTGACAGAACGTCTCTTGTCATTACAGAGAAACCACTGAAGCTCCTTAAGAGTATATGGTGAACTTCAGTTCTACTGCTTTGGAACCGCTTGAAAATGTTCATGTCCCGGGATTCATGTGTACAACTGATTGATAAGTTTGAAGAAAATCTGCCAAAACGTACTCGATCCAACTGCTAATAAATTAATAAAATACCATGAGGCGAACAACTGTTCTATACCCAATTAAAAAACACAAATTTAAAGCGAATGACACAATAAGCAATATCGAAACCAGAATAGCCCCACAGACAATTCGCACAATCAAGGATTAGCTGCTTGACTTAGTTTTGTTGTTTTGTAAAACAGTACACGAATCTTGTTTCTATATTGAGTGGGCTTTCTTTTTCTTTTCTTAGTAATAAATACTTAATAGGCTAATTTGGATAGTCCACTTATCATTGGTAAATGAAAAAAATTCTTATTTTCTTAACCCATTACTCGCCGACAGATCTCAATAAAAGATCTTCAGATCCTGGTGGATGTCTGCCATCAAACAGTTTATTACTGATCCATATGTTTCTGTGACGATCGTAGTTGCTTTTTGTTCGTTGTACCTCCCACACACTGAAATAAATACCAACATGGTCTTGTTTGCTCTGAAGACTGAACTTAATCCTACAAGGAAGCATTTTTAAGTTAAATTTCAAGGTTGTTGGACCTCGTCTTTTTTCTAATCATTAAAAATTAGTTTCAAGAGACAACAAGGAAAAGCGAACATAATATTTCTTGCTTCAAATAAATTGTTAATCAGTTATGTCGGACGACAAAAATTTTCGAAGAGTCAAAATAAGTAGGGGCTATTGTTTTCTTTCTTCTTTAAGAGATTAAATTTTCTGACACCATATTATACGTCTCAATATAGTATAGAAGACTTCAACGAGGTACAAGATTCATTTGGTCTTTAGTTGTAGGATTAGGAGAAGTAATCGTGCGCTTGGTACCCACATACTTATTCCCATCTGTGTTTAGTATATTTATATTAAAATTTATATACTTCGACAAAAGCAATCTCGCGTGAAAAAATTGACCAATTACCTGATGAAATCTAAAGAATACTGGCCTTTGCAAGCAGTTTTTTCATCTTTCAATCCCAAGCTGGCTTTCATAGAAATTAAACGGACATCTGTACTGTGAGTTAATCTCGTGTTGTCTCTAGTGATAAATGACAAATTGCTAAAGCGAACCCGACCAATAGGAAGAGAGTTGCTTCTAACGATACTTGAATATTAATTATGTTAATTCAGAGTCCAATAAAACTGAGGTATTGGCCAGGACTTGAAAAAGGAAAAATAACAACAATAACATGAACAATGGTGATCTTCATAAAGTAGTTTTAAACAGAAGCGTATTAACATTCATTAAAGGCGAGGTCGAAAATATTTTTGTCAGAGAATATCATTGCAATCTGGATGACTGGTCAAGGAGTCCTTGGTTTGTGGATTTTGAACAGATATTGGAGCTGATAAGCAGGGGGATATGGCATGACATTTTATTTCTCCAGATGTCATATGCGTTCTACTGGGATTGCAAAATTAAGGCACAAAATCCAAAACGGATTTTGGAAACAAAACTGCGACCTCTTTGAGATATATTTCACTTAAAAATTTCAACATTACTTATATTCTATGGATTTGTTATTTTTGTTCTCAGGAAATCCGAAAAAGGATTTGCTTTCATGGATAGACTAGCAGTAATTAGGAGATGACAATGCTATAAAAATCGTTATAATTGCTTCACAACATGAAAGTAGCGATATGCTGAAAATAAAAGTGTCTAGGCGCATTTACACGACATTCGTTTTGGGCACGGCGCTCCAAAGTTTTGGCACGCGGGCCGATAGTTTTGGGCACGGCCCGCTTGATTTACACGGCAAAACATGTTCAAGTTTTTTCAATGTTGATTTCTGAACGGCACCCCTAAAACAAGAACGGCACTCTTAAACTTGTAAGTCACTGCGCTTATATGACAGCGGTTCACATATATTATTTCAGGCGCGCTTTCGCGGGCTGTTTAAAAAGAAAATGGCAGATTCTCGAATACAAAAAGCAATTGTATTGCTTGTGTTTTGAAAAAGCGAAAACGCCTGTCGTAAGTCAGGGACGAAACAAGGTCGTTCCTTGCACTACTCTTACATGAATTAAAGCGGCGACAATACGGCCTGCTGCAAGCTATTTTGAGCTGTCTAAGTCCTCCACGCTTAAGAGAGGTATGGATGCATCCCTATTCTTTTGCGTCCTTTGACATGGTCGAAGCATCTTTTCCTTATGAGCTGTGGTATTCCAACTTTAGAGTAACTCGTGGAACATTTACATACATTTTCCCCGAGCAGTCATTCAAAAGACGCATAACTGTTTCTAGAAGCTGACTCACTGGAGAGCTGCAGTAACAAACATTAAAGAGCAGATAGACCAAGACAAGGCATTTTACCACTGCTGCCAAATTGACGATTTCTAGTTGAAGTAATTTTCAGTGCTATCATACGCGAACAGCCATTCGCTCAAAAGGCACATTTCGTGCTGGCAGATACAACGTAATTTACGAGACCCGCACATACGCGCATTTTAGCACGCGTATATATATGGGTCCTTGAAGGAAGTGTATATTTGGGAATTTATTTCACATATCCCTGCACTTGAATTTACGCAAATATGACCTTTTAAAAATGGGTATATACGCGATCTAAATGGTCGTATATATGGGCTCGAAGCCCATACGAAACGTATGTACACAAGTATACGCGGCGGAAAAACCCGCATATACCCTGTTGTAATTTTGAGACGAATGGCCAACCATACAATGCTGGGTTAGCGTTAACCGGCTTACAAACAACGCGACCCTGCTAGGTTAAGTTAACGTAGCTTGAGCTCGCGATCCAATCAAAAACCAGTACTTGGGCAGCGGTCAGCTTCAAAAACACGTGACCTCAATAAGCTTTAAACTTGAGCCCACGATAAAGGTCACGTGATACTGGTCAGCGAATACCTTGATTTGACAGGTGTCAATGGACCATTAAATAGATGTTACGATGCCTGTCTCGGTTATAACCTATTAGCTGGAGCTTGGCCGCCATGTTGCGCGACGTCCTCGACGTCGTGCTTACGCGCCCACGAGCAATACCGTTAGCCAAAATGACGAGCAGAAAAGCGATCCATGGGTTCCTGTGTGTAGGTGCTCCGCTTGGCGACCCTTCGGGTCGCCGCAGCTCCGCTAATAATGATAGACCTTTTTAGCGATACGGCGGCCATTTTCAATTTATTAATTTGCAGCATATTATGGGGGTCACCACCGAATGGGGTCACCACCGAATGGGGTCACCACCTTATCGTGGTGGAGCGGTTTGTGTGTCTCAATGACCCCTAGAGCTATGTCNCAGAAAGAACATACAATGCAAAAGGTAGCCAGTGTAAAAGGGCCGAGAAAAACAGAAAGGAAAGGGCCAAAAAACGAAATTGAGAACGGTTAATGGCAAAAAAAAAAAAAAAAATTGGCTTATGCGCATGCTCGGAATTGTAGTTTTGATCGATTCTGTACCTAATCCTCGAAAAATCTCTCCTTTTAGTAAAAAAAAGCTTTTTTTAGCAAAGCTTAGGCTTATTTAGCGCCATGGCAGCTAAAAAAACCTGACTAAACGGTTAAAAACGGTATTTTTTGGCGAAAGTTTGGTATTCAAAGGGTTAAAGCTTTCTCGGATGTCTCCGACGCGGCATACACAGCAACATTTAACATTCGCCACGCGTACGAATGGGGTCACCACCTTATCGTGGTGGAGCGGTTTGTGTGTCTCAATGACCCCTAGAGCTATGTCGGCTGGAGTCTTGTACTCCTGGTAGGGCCACCCATGCCGAACAGGTCGAAGGGTAGAGCCCAGACAAAGAGTGACTCCCTTGTCCTCCAGGTTGGGGGCTGGGCGTAGGGTTAACAACCCCACCCCATAAAAGACAATTTGTTACAGAAACTGGAAACGCGGACAGTGATACAACACTAGCTGGGGGTGTCACTACTGGGGCTGCAATGACGCTCTTGGGTCAAAGCCAGCGGGAAGCCCAAAGGCCGATGGGCCCCATGGTAGC